CGGCTTTGCCGTTCGCGGCCCCCGCCGCTCGCAGGGGCCCGTGGCGCCGCCCGGCCTCGTCCTCTGCCCGCGCCCGGGCCCTCCCCGAAATCCCCTTTCGGTGGGTCTCCGTCGGCCCGCTTCTCCTCTATAACTGAGGGTTGGTTGCTTTCCTCTCCCGCCTCCCCCTTCGTATTCGGCAGCGGGGGTCTCCTCCTCTTTCATCTCCCCCACAACAACCCCGTGAGGTGGGCTGGGTTGAGACCGACTGGCCCAAAGGGGCCTTGGGACCTTCCGTGGAGGACCACACCGGCCTCCTTCTTCCGGCCAGGCTCGCGCAGCAGTCCCCATGCAGGGGGAACCTCCATGGGCAGGAGTACTATACCTCTCAAGGCTTTTCTCCCCTGCGGGTCCGTTCCTTGAAGGCCACTCTGTGCTCAGCCTTGGATGGAGAGAGGATGCTGCGGTAACTGGACCTCCGGGACCAATCTGAGGCGATAACTGATCCGAAGGGAACATTTGTTTGTAAAATCCTGCCCAAAGCCTTAGGCTCTGTACTCCCCTTTCTCCTTCTCTTACCCCGGGCCTCGGTTTTTAGCTCAGCTCTTGGAAATGCATAGTAAGGTAACCCAAGAACCACCTAAGGATCTCTTTCTACCCCCAGAATTGGCTCCTTCCATTGGAAAGTGGGGGGGGGGGGTTGCCCTTTTGCTGATTGCGGGTTGCCAACCACTCTCCAATATTGCCAGGAGATTGAGCCCTTCTATTGCCCCTTAGTTAGGAAGCCTCTCCTTCTCCTCTTGGGGTCTCTTGTTCATCTCTCCCCTCTTATTCCACATTAACGTCCCCTTTCATTAGATTTCTTTTTGCCCTTTCACTTTTTGATTTCTTTTTATGTGTGTTTCCCTTTTTCCTGCTAGGTGTTTCTTACTCTGCTCATGCTCTCTGCTCCTACGGCAAAATATTGCTGGATGTAGCTACAAGTAGTCCTTGTTTAGCAACCGCAATTGGGACAAGCAACTCAGTTGTTAAGCGAAGTGGTCACTAAGTGAAACTGCAACTGTGCTTATGATCTTACTTCAGCTTTCCTTTGCTTTACAGACCTGTGAAGGTCGTAAATGCGAGGATTGGTTGCAAAGTTAATTTTTCATCACCATCATAACTGCGAAGATTCGCTAAATGAGGCAGTTGGTAAACAAGGACTACCTGTAATTCCTATGTTCTTCCCTATATTCTCTGTCTCCGGTTTACTACTATTCATTGCTTGTTTATGTCCTTGTGCTTTCAGACACAGCCAGCCTTTTGGTGGGGGGGGGTTGTTTATCATTTTAAGAAGCTTTTATTTTTGCTGCTACCTCTGCCACATAGACAAAAGGTTATTGCCAATTTATTTTTTACAACTTTCTTCTTTTCACAATAACTGTTGGACTTAATTCTTCATTTCTTGCCCTGTCTCCTGCCATATCCAGATTGGCCTGATTTAGTTAAAATAGGAAACTGATTTCACACAGTGTGAATGAGCCACATGAAGCCCCTACTTTCTGGAGGAAGACATTCAGATTATCTACTAACAGTTTTAAACTAGCTCCAATTTCCTGACCACAGCTATCTGGTTTAAACTATGGTAGTACAGTACCAAGCTAGAATCAAACTTTAATTCCATATCTTACCTTGCCTTAAACCATAGTTCTTTTAAAAAATTAACCTAAATCAGAAGTAGCTGCTTCTGATCTTCTTTCCTGCCATGTGTGAAGAGTAAGACTTATCCACTGTGTCTGAAATGGGCATCTGACAGGATAATACTTTAGCCTTCTCATCCTAAGCAGACTTGGTGAAGGAGGAAACAGTGAGTGTGTGCTGGGGAAAATAAACAGTCCTTCAGTTAGGAAAAAAATTAAGTGCTTGGTCTGCCTCAGTCAGGATGTATAATTTCCTTTTTCATGGGTGTGGAGGACTGACAGCACAAGCAAGTACGTCATACAGATGGAGATTTTAAAAAATGCTTTAATCCTCAAGCTTTGAGGCTTGAGAAGGTAAATGTTTACCCTAAAGCAGCCACTGAATGTAACCTTTAAGATCAAACTGTGTACATTCACATGTCACTGAGGTTAAGGCTTCGATAAACTTCTGTTTATTAGCATAAAAATCAGCTTTTAAATTGTTCAGTTTCAACACTTTACAAATCTGGTCTCCCAGATTCATGAATATTGGAGTAATTCTGTTGGATTAGTAATCACAATCATGTGCATGTTATTACGGGATCAGAGCTTGCCACAGAATCAAGGGTAATCAGAATCAAGGTTCACCCACAAAGTGAGACTTACCCTCAGCAAGCCATGTAGAAGATTGCAGCGTGCAATTGATTCTGTTGCATATGCCTTCCTAATTTTGCATTAAAGATAAATTCTCCTTCAAGTTGAGCTGCATTCCATTCTTCTGAGATGTTTTTTTCAATTTCACATCTAAACTTGAGCCCTGGAATCTCCTGGTGGTCCATCATCCAACTACTACCCAGGCCCAACCCTGCTTAACTTTTTGACAGTAAGCAAGGTCAACTGAATGCTGCCACCTAGGGATTGAAATAGATAAAGTCTGCTGTAGGAGAATGCTTGACAAGATTTGTTTTGCTAAAAAAAATTATTTTCTGTTTCTTTCAGCATCTTTTCTAGCATAGCAGACTGATTTTGGCAGATTTTCTATTAGTTTCTTATTTCTTCTGTTGTATAAGCCTGAAAAACAAAATCTTTCATGTCTTACAAAACCATGTACATGGTTTTCTTTGGAATCCATGCTGATAAGTAATAGTCCTAGGTAATAAGACTTACCCTGCATTAACTGTAACAGTGCTATATGTTTGCTTGAAAAAAGAATACTAGGGGAAAACTAGGAGTGGCTTTTCATATGAAAAAAATTATGATACACAGTTCACAAATCCCTGAGCTAGGCATAATAATCATATAGAAACACTTTGTTCTACTGCTTTTTTGGTTTCAGCTGGCAAACACCATCTATTTTGCACCTGACTTTGATTGATAGTTCTAGTTTTTTAAAAAATTAACTTGATTTTTCCATTGAGGTACCTGCTCAACACAAACAACATATAAATTTATAAAATCCCAATCTTCTGGTCAAATATATTAGTCATTTTATTAAGTTATTAAAACAGAGGAGTCATGAGTGAATTTAAATTCTGTTAAGCCTTCTGGTTCTCTCGCAGTTGTCAGTATATTGTTAATGTCTTTGAAAATGGAAAAACTGAAACAGAGGCTATTGGAACTGGCTTATGTCATCTCAGTTCAGTAATTCCTCAAAGCAAGAATCCAGCGTTCTGGATTGAAACTGAAGCTTCCTTTTCATGTGCTAATTCAGTGTGTTTTGTGTTGCATTGTAGATTTCTTGGTGAATCAACACTTTCTTTCTGTTAAAGTCTTTTATGCTAGAAATGTTACTTTGCAATCCCTTTTTTGTTGAGAGATTGTTGAAATGCAGCTCTTTAATCATGGCCTTAATCCATATAACAAATTCAGTTCTGTATGTTCTCTTTTTAAATACCCCTCCCACTCAGAGAAAATGTAATGCAGTTTTAGGGGGTTATAGAACTTCACATTACAACACTCAGATAACAACTGGGCTTCTCAGTGAACTCTGTGTAAAGAGAAACAGCCTAGTTTGCAGTAATTATTTTGACTATAGAATCTTTCTCCTGTGGCTACTGGACACTCTGTGAAAACTTTAATGCTGAGGTATTATAAACTGAAATATTTTGGAATTGTGAGTCATCAAGCTTGCAATATGATCATAGCTGCAAGTTAATTTCTATTCTTTCTTCAGAAATACAGTATTACTCTTGTGTTCCCTGAAGATTTTTAACTTCATTTTTAACACTGCAATATATTTCTTTTTATAAATTTAATTTTCCTCATCTTTTTTTTTCCTTCCACCCCCTGCTTTGCTGATTTTGGTATAGAGGCAACACCTAGGGTCGTCATTTGGTAATGCCTCTAGATCCTTTGCTGTCAGTAGAAGCACAAGTGGCCTTTGTGGCCATGAGCCCCCTTTCCCAGACTGACCTGGTTTACCACCTATCACAGGACTCCAAGCACCGACAACCTGCAGATCGGATGAGTGCAGAGCTTTCCTCCAGTGAAACTGCCTTGAGGCTGGCCCAGAACCTGCAGCAAGGGCAGCACGGTGTGGTTAGTTTGCTGAAGGAAGCAGCCTATAATATGGTTATATTACACCTGTTCTGAGCAATCTGCACCTTGAATTTGAACCAAACCAAATTTAGGGGGTTGCATTGGCGTTTTAAAACTCAACACGTTTGATTTCTGCCTTATGCCTTCCCTGTAGCAGTGCCTGCAGGCCCTCTGGAATGAGCGCTCCCCCCCCCCGAGATTCAACAGCCTCCATCCTACTGATGTTTCAAAGGGCTTTGAAGGCCTGACTCACCCTTTGGCCAGGGTGATTGCAGACCCCCTTTTTCCTTTGTTCCCATCCAGTTTCATCATTTCTGCCATTTTTTTGTTTGTTTTTTGTTGTTTCCTTGTTTTTAAATGTGTTTAATTTGTAAATTGCACAGAGTCACTGGGAGTTGGGTAGCATATAATAAGTGATTGTTACTATTTATTATTACGTGATGGCTTGAATATTGGGAATTAGCAGGGATGCCTGTTAATGAATTGACTGTGTAGAGATGCAGAAGAGAACTGTCTCAATACAGAGACTTTGATTCCTGAATGCCTTCCCTGTTCAGTTACAATTGGTATCTTACTAGGTCTAGTGCCAACTTCTTTGTTTAACCAGCAGGTCTTTTCTTGAACTTACACGCTTTTATCTTTTGTTTACTTCTAAACTTTTGTTATCCTACCCAGGTGTTCCATCTGTACTAATTTTATCTTTTATAAAAGATAAAAAATTTAAAGATAAAAATCTTTAACTTTTTTTCCTTTTCTCTTAAAATGTTATATAGTTTTATCGGTTTTAATGTTGTATTTCTATGCTGGGTCTATTTTTAAATATGTTTTTAAAGGAATATAACTAAGCTTCTAATTTTATGCAGTCGTGACTTTCCTTGAAGGGCATGGGAAAATCTTGGTAGGCCAAGCCTAATATTAATATTCTGGAACTAAAAATGAACATGCTGTATCCTTTTTTCCTGAGCACAAATCAAGTGCCCATCATTACAGAGGCCATACTTTCCAGCAGGCAGGCAGAGGGAAGGAGAGAAACCATTTGCCAGGTCTGTTCTCCCTTCAGTCTGGTACATGTAATATAGACAGACACTTAAGTAAATTGTGTCTACTCTCTTGGTCCAGCCAATCCTTGCCTTTAAATGGTTTTCAAGCTCATAGTATAAAACAAGGCTTATGATCAATTTGTATGCACAATGTCTCAAGTGTTACGTTTGGGGGGCTTTAAAATAAAAAGATTATGCAGCTGGCTGATATAATTTCTGAGAATTAAAATGTGCATTATTGAGCATCCCAGTAGTAAATAGAGAAATACATTTACATATGATATTTTTATACAAATGGATTCTGTGGAAATTCAAATTGGCAGTGTTTTTGAAAGCTGTTTAACTGATATCCATTAAGCACCTTTTATTAAGCTGGAAACATTAAGCTTGCAAAGAAATTTAATGTTTAAATATCAGATACTGGGTACTTCTGAACAAGTATTCTGTAGCTTGTAATATTTGATTATCTTTAAATTTTCAAGCCAAAATTTGTAGGCACATGGATCTATCTACTTTTGTCTCACAGTAAAGGACGACAAGATGCTTACCAATTTGCCTATCTTATGATGTGGTGTTTCTGGTACCACAGCAACAACATGACTAAACAAACCTCCACGTAACCTTGGAATTAGGAATGACTTAGGACAGTGTTGTCCAAACTTGGCCACTTTAAGATGAGTGGACTTCAACTCCCAGAATTCCCCAGCCTGCCATGCTGGCTGGGGAATTCTGGG